TTATAAATATATTTTAAATTAAATTTTTTATTATAATTCCAAAAATATTTTGTTTTAGAAAATAAAGAGAAACAAAGAAAAAATTCCATAAAAAAATGCCGGGCACTTGCTGTTTATGCAGAACTACGCACAAAAAAAGCGCCATATCTTCCATAATACCAAAGAACGTTAGCGCTTATTGCTTGACATCTATTGCAGGCAATTGAACAAAAAAAAAATGTTTTCGTTGCTTTCTGAGCTGATGGTTGCTTCACTATGTTTTGACGCTTCTTGTCTCTTTCTTCGCTATTACCGGAAAATGTCTGTGCAAAATTGAAAATGAGACTCATAATACGGCTTATTTTTTATTTTTTATACAAAATTCCACCACACATTTTGTCAAATCCGCCACCTGTAAATGGGACCGGTAATACTTTCCAACGAATCTAACCTAATCTAACCAACATAATTGTTTAGCATTGAAACATTTCGATTGTAATTTGTATTACGTCCAAAATGAAGGAAATAAAAAAGTTTCAAGTACAAAATCTATATAAAATCAATTTTTCCTTAATTTTCAAATCAAAAATAAATTTCAGTTTTCCTTGGTAAGAGACAAACAACAAAAAGACACATGGGACATTCTTGAGCTATGCTCGGTATTACCTAAACAACTTTGTTTTATACAAATACATACATAGATATAAATTTTTTAATAATTGGCAACCCTCATCAAAATTATTACTTCTGGTTAACAGGTCTATTCTGCACGTTACCGAAGATTTTGTGACCGGAAAATTTTATTAGTAAAAAATTTTACGACTTCTTGTCACCGCGATTCTAGGTACGTTGGTAATGCAGTAAGTGCAAAACTGTAACATTTGCCTTAGTTTAAATATTTGTTTTTTTTTATTATTGTTGTATTGACTTCAAATCGTTATGATAGAAGGAGTAGGGATGTTCTAACAAGAATATACAACAAAAGGATGAAAGTCGTTAGAACTTGGAAATATAGCGGTGGCTGAAGTAAAGTGTTACACCATATTACAGTTTTGCTCATCACTGTAGATATAAGCTTTTAAATAATTGGCAACCCTCATCAAAATTATTAGTTCTGGTTAACAGGTCTACAGAAAATTGTATTACTAAAAAATGTTACCGCTTCTTATCACCGCGATTCTTTCTTTTGTAATTTAAAATTACTTCCTAATTCTTTATAAGAAGAATTAATTGGCCAGCAAAAAAGCTTAAAACGCCATCTCCAATTTTGAATTAAATAATAAAATTATAAATTAATTTCAATGTCCTTTAAAAAATTAGTGATAGATTTATATGCTTTGCCATTAGTATTTTGATGAAATTCAATTAATGATGAAGTATTTTTGAGTATTGGGTATTTATCACGTGAATTGTTATATTTGTTACATTTGAAAATTATATGATCAGTATTTTCAACTGTATTACAAAATTCGCAATTTGGGTTTGGAAAAATATTCATTTTTGATAATGTCTCCTTGCAGAAAGTGTGATTTGTTAGAATTCTATTAATTTGTTTAACTTCTATTGGTGTCATTTTATTTGAATTTTTATGAAACCATGGTTTATTCTGAATGTTTGGAAATATTTCTCCATAAGATTTTCCTTTAGTTATAATATTATTAGAATAAAATTCTTGCCACTCTTCATTTATTTTACTTTTAATTTCTATTATAGCATCTTTAATAGACCATAAAGTTTGAATTCTTTGACCATTCTGTAAAGTAGTGGAAGCTGCTTTATCCACTTTTTCGTTTAATTCAATACCACTATGAGCTGGGATATGATGTAATTCTAAAATTTCAATTGATGAATTATTAAGATCCGTTATCATTTTTTTTGCTATATAATTATTACAGTTCTCATTTGAAAGAGTCATTAGACTACTTAAACTGTCTGTAAGAATGGCAATTTTTTTAAATTGATTAA